ATACGAGCGGCTACTAATGCCAACCTAACTTTTTCTACCAATCTAAATTTAATATAAAGCCACACTTACCATAATTGTCATAATATTCATTTTTAAACCTGCAGTTCGGCAATTTGAAACTCAATTTTTTCCAGACTTTTATGACGATATTCAAACTTTCATAGATTATTTTTCATTTACTCTATGCTTGTCCTCAAAAACAATAAGTACTGACACTAAAGGGTGATCAAAAAGGTTCAAGAGCTGTTTGGCCAAAAGTGGATGTCTTAAAATACTATTAAAAGGGAACTTTAATAAATAAGTGGGTCTAAAATTTCCCGTTATTTCTTTATTGCAAAAAAGGCAACGAGGCTTGCAAAAGCTAGAATTTTGATTTTTAAAGTGAAAAACTGGCATTAGAGCTTAAAGTCAGTGGAGACAACGCAATGGGCGATAAAATGACAGCACAGATTTTTAAGGTAGTCGGTCAGAACTTAGGATTGGTTCAATTAAAAACATTGAAAACTAAAGCCACCTTTGATAGTTCAATTATATTTTATTCAAGCTGACATTGTTTAATTTATGTTTTAACAGCCGTAAAAATTTGAATACTTATTTAACAAATGAAAATATTTATAAAATAAAACTCCCAAAAAACAAACACATTTTTTGAAATAAAAAACCAGAGCTGCCAAGCCTGGTTTACTTTAGTTGATACCATAGCAAACATGATAAAAAATTGAAGCATATTTGATCTTCTGCAGATGGGAAACGTTTAACACAAACTGACTTCTTCTCACCTAATGAAAAAAAAAATTATTTGTTCATAATTTTGAAGAAAGATTTGAAAATATTTTTGCTCGGGGCTGTTTTTATATTCTGACCTTCTTACGCTTGCAATTAGCAGGCGTTGTCAAATCGGAATCTATAGTTTTTGGGTTAAAAATTAATTTTAGAAAAATGAGTGATTCATTTGATGCTGCTTAAAAGAGGTCACATGATGCTGCTATTCAGCTGACATGCTCAATTTCAAAAAAGTTCAAAATAAACTACTTAGTGGGTACTAGTTAATGAGGGTGATTTCATTGGGAACTTGAAACCTTTTCAAGTTTATACAAAATCAGTTTTTTTTCTGCTCAACTGGTGTCTGCTCAAAAATTGTCGGCTTTATTTCCACTTTGTAAAATTTGTTCAGTTGCTAATTTGGATATCAAGAATCTATGTGATTTTTTTTGCATAGAATTTCTATTTGATAGAAACAGCTGGTTTGAAAGTGTGTGGGATCGGATTTTTCACCTTTTTTGAGAAGAATTGGAAGTATTTATCACTTTTGCAAAAAAAAAATAGTTTTTTTTTCTTCCCAAAAACCCTTCTACCGATTTTCACAAAATTTTAAGGTCAACATTTTAAGGTCCCAGCATACTCCCCTGGTCTCTTTTTGATCTACCCCTTTGTCTACAGCCTTCGAAAAAATATGAGGGTGAATAATTGACTATTTTTTTGATTTTTTTTTCGTTTTGTCAAAAACGAACCTACCAAATCTGAGACTTTGGTTTCATAGGTTAGTATAGATTTGAAAAAGACTCCCTCAAAAGTGGCTATGCTCAGACTTTTTAAATATAAAGTTATGGCCTTCTCGAAATAATCAATTTTTGATTTTTGACTGTTTTTTAAATCCTTTTTAACTTTTCCTGAAAACTAATTTTTCCAAAACTGAGATTAGGGGTTTAATGGAGAAAATTAATAGTAAGAAGCTCCCCTGCATTAGCGATCAATCATAATTTTTCCACACAAAAAGTAGTCGCCCTCAGAAAAGTCTTTTTTTAGTTTTTGAGTATTTTTTTTCTAAGTTTTATTATTTTTACCAAAAAATACACTCATATATATAAAATTTTGGGTAGGGTTCAAACAAGAGTTGTGGGAAGTTCCTTTTCATACGCGACTACCCCTAACAAAAAGTTATGCTGTTGGGGGAAAAGTCAAATTTTAGATTTTTGTTAACGTTTTTTAAAACTTTATTATTTTCTCGAGAATTAACCTAGGTTTTTTGCCAAACCTGGGTCTTTGATTCAATCGAAAACATAGGTTGAATGAATCTGTTCTGCATAAGCGGCTTAGCGCAGTTTTTAAAAACAAAAAACTTTGCTTCTCGGAAATGTAAACATTTTGACTTGTTGACTGTTTAGGACTTCTCTCGATTACTATCTAGCCAAATTTGAAATTTGATATGACACACACCAGGTTATTGGAAGCTTACTTCTATAATTTTTTCATGTTCATTTTTTGTTAGAAAAACGTTATAGACTTCAAAAAAGTAAAAATTTCAAAAAAATTGACCGTTTTTTGTAAGCTTTTTGAATCTACTCGAAAATTACCTCTCCAACTCTCATATTAAGAAATAAATAGAGAAACTCGATTATGGGAATCTTCTCTACTTTACCGGCCACGTCTTGCATCATTTAGCAGAAAAAATTTACGGTTTTCGAAAACTCAAGTTATTGAACTTTGGCGTTTCATTAGAAATTTTTCAATTTTTAAAATTACACTTTCGATTTAAATTTTCAATCGAAAGAAGCGGTTGCGCGAATTTTTTCCTGGGCCATTTCCTATTTCTTTGTAAGAAAAAAAGGTTCTGCTATTTGGAAAATTTCCAAAATCTCCTCTGACTTATAGTAGTAGGGAAACAAGTAAAGTGTTGGGCAATATTCAATTTTTGAAATTACGCTTTTCGTCCCGCATCAGTTTAACAAATTCAGAAAATATCAACCACGTACATCCAGCTTTAGCTGGTCTTAGTTGTACTTCATCGAGACATAGAAAAGTTTTGGTTCACCTAGTTTTTTTCAATATTTCATTTTTATTTCTCGTTTAATTTCTTGTTTTTGTTTTCCGCAAAAAATATGGTACCATAAATAACCATTGTTTTTTATTGAATAACGTGCCATAGTAAACCCATTCAATTGTGATTCGAAAAAAATTTGAAAAAATATTTTAAATCTGTCTCAGTTTCGAAAAAACTTGTTTAAAATTTTCCTCGAGCGAGCAGAAATAGTTGGAAATTTCTCAAAATAGTTAGAAAACTTCTGAGCCCTTTTATAACGAATCGTCTTTTTTGTGCTTTCAAACCGTTGAATGAAATATAATACGTTTTAAAACAAATGTGAACAAAAATCTGAAATTCTCTATTGATTTTTGTGAACTTAAAAAAAACAAGGTCGGGTAGAGTAATAGTCTTTCCACAGTGCTTGAACACTGTTTAAATGAACACCTGTTTAAATAATCTACTATATACAATCAAAATACATTTTTCAGGTTAAAAATAGCTATGCAAAATGCAGTCATGTATTGGTAATTCCAAAAATTTTGTTTGTTTTTGAAGTTTTGTTGAACTTAGTCGACTATTTTGGAATCCCGGGTTAATGTCCCACCGTTAAAAAATTTTTTCTTTGTAGTATCCCAGCAATGCTATTTTCCAGCGCTGGTTCATGAATAGTTCAGATTTTTTTGCATAGCTAAACCTGCTATATTTCGGAGCTATTTCACTAATGATTCCGTAGAAAATCATCGCTGAAACTTAAGAATTTTTAACTCATTCAAGTAGCTTTCAAATGAGAATTATAGCTGATAAGCCCTTTACTTGAGTTTATCTAAGGCTTGATGGCGCAGATGTAGCATACATGTCTACAAAGTTGACGGTTGCGCGATCGAACCCCTGTTAGAACACTTCTTTTGCTGATTTTGATAGGTTTTTTATCACTGTTTCGTCGCTGAAAATTAACCAAATTAGCGATAATTTATTGATAAAGTTCGCCATTGTGGCAAATAACATCGATAATTTATCGAAGGCAATTGCTCTTTTTTCCACTCTTTTATCGATGATTTCCAAGGTTAGCTCAACCCGGGATGACTAAATGACTAAGATAACGTACAAGATTGTCTTTTGGGGAAAACCATAAGGATATTGATAAATCACGATTCCATTGGGAAAAGAGATGTCCCTTCTTTTAAAAAAAACAATTAATTTTGAACTTATTCCCATTCTGCATTGCAAATTGACTCTGATGTTG